CGTCAGAAACCAACATTTCTTTGTTGAGAGTGTTCTTTGAGAAAAAAATTGTGGGTGTTTTTATACTGAGCTAAAATATCTTGATAATTTAAAAATGTATTAATTCGACCAAAGCAAAGTATGAAGATAATAACAACAAGAACAAGGTATTTTTTAATTTTTGGCATTTTTTGTGAGTAGACGATTTTTAGATACTATACTTTTTAATAAATAAGATCATATTTCATTTTTTATGGAAACAAATATAGCTATGCAAACTGTTAAATAATTTGTTAAATTTTCTAAAACTAGTGTAACTCGAATTTTTGAAAAATGAATTTTGGTATGTGGCACGTTTATTCTGCACCTTCATCATGGTCTGAAAGTCGTTTTTTATGTTGTATTAAAGGGGACACTAGATTCCTTTGACCGAATTTTGGCTTTCGGTTTACTAGAATTCTTGTTTAATTGATCGTAACTTGGATAAGAAAATGGAGGTTTTCGGTGATACGGTTTCTTGTTCGAGAAATAATTCCATATAAGCTCGTAAAATATAATCCTCATAATTACCCTAAGTGGGTAAATAACGAACTTTATCGAACAAAAAATCAACTACATAATTATAACAGAGCTCCAGATTTTAAGATTATTTTTGCTTTAAATTTTTGAGATCTCTTTGTCAAACGTTGGGTGAACACATATGTCTTAATATATTTCTAAACTTATCAACACTAACTTAAGCAACTAATTTTTTGTTGAAAATTATTCCTTCTTGTTTATTTATTATTATTCTCTAAGAGTAATAGTCCTGCTGAAATTATTTTTAATCAATAGGAAACGAGATGAAGATATTTTTTTACAGAATATTTTCCATCTGTTTAAACGAAATTACCAATATTAACTATAATTATATCAAAAATTTCTATAGCCTGATTTGCTAAATCATTCATTTGGCAGTGGTCGCCAGACTTTAATTTCTACAGATTTCATAAATATTTTCAGTCACAAATCATGATTATAAATAATTATTTATAGCACTAGATAATAAAATAAATTATTTCAAACACGATACTGCAAGTACGCATTGTACTTATTTATATTCTTTCTGGTGTTTCGCAAAGTATACATTCTAAATTATTTTTGTAGGTAGATGCATTAATTTCTTTAAATCACAATTAAATCAAAATTCAGCAACTCCATCCAGATACCTTAAAATATATTTTTTTGCCATAAGTTCAAACAGTAATTTTAATAACCAATTACACTTTTATTCTACGTGTTTCCGAAATTAGCTACAGGAGAAAATATTACTAGATTTTTAATAAAACCTTAAACATATCAGATTTTAATAAGCAACTACTAAACGTATTTGAGAACTTTCTCTAAATTAAAATGTGAACAATCTTTAACTTCCTTATAAGATTTGAAATGTATGTGTCACTAAAAAGACATATTAAAAAGATATTTTCGCAGATCAACACCGCATACATGGAATGTAATATAAAAATACAGCGACATTTCGCTAAGCCCGTTTATTTAATAAAAACAGGAATGAAAATATTCTCTGAAAAATGTTATAATTGAGTTTATTCAATTTAATCTTCTGAAGCAACCTGAAACGGTGTCCCAGGTCCTGATAATAACAGAATCAATATTGTGATTATGCCATACAACAAAGTGGGTGGATGATTCGTGAATAATTGATTGTTTTTCCCAACGACAAAATATCAGTTCCGACATCGGCAATCATCAGATATGAAAATAATTTTACTCCAATACCAAGAACAAATTGATTATTATCGATAGCGCCTTATCGTTGTCCTCGAATAACCCCATATTTTTCAAAAAGTTTTTGTAACTGCAAATATCCGTCATCAAGCTAAAGTGCTCGTTCCAACCACTACAATTTCATTTGATTCATTTCCGAGCTGCTTTTAAACAACGCCGGACTTTATGAAAGTTCCGCAAAAAATACAATTCCAGCCATTCGTCAGTGTCTTCATTAAATTTTGATGTAATTTTGGAAGTGCAGTGGTAACTAGTAAAACCATGCCGATTCTCAGAAGCGTCTAATTTTTAAACATGCTGAACTCGTTTTGTCCATAATCGCATTACGCCGGCTGAAGTTCGGTGTTTTATCAAATTTTCTTGACGGTTGGAGTAAAAACTGGGCCGTAGTCCATTACGGTGACCCTACGTGAATTGGGTTAATCTGTGGAAAACTGTTATTGTACCAAATTGTTTATTATTACGATTGTCCCGTTAGGTCAACGAGCTTTTGTCTTGCATTTTTCATGACCTGAGTTAATTTCTAGAGTGATGACTCGCTACACGTACATTTTACAAAATGCTATAAAAATTCCCTAAGTACGCGGTCCGAGAGCCATAATTTGCTCGAAATGCTTTTATTGATCATATAACTCGCTATGCTAAAACATTCAAAAAGTTTAGATATCATAAAGTCGGGGGAGAATGGGTACAGCCATTAAATGAAATATAGATATGCGCATAAATAAAAAAAGGGGAACATACTAACTTTGTTTTCGTATTTTGTGTATTTCGTTATCTCGTGGGAACATTACGTCATAATTTTCGCAGCTATTAAAGATAATCCGGGAATATTAAGCTAAAATAATTTCAGCGTTTGAGACACTAAAACCCCATTATGGCAATGACCCGTCAGCAACTTTCCCTCTGATCGTCGAAAAAACGCCAACACACGGACGTTATGTTTTAATTAAAAAAAAAAGAGAGGAGAAACAGTAAATCAGAAAAGAATAATATTTTTGCGCATATATGATTCGGGTCAGGTGCTTGCGGATCCCGCTGCTGAAGTTTGCTCAAAAAATAAACCATAGAACAAAAATGAATTTTGAACGGGCCTTAATACCGACGGCTGTTTGTTCAAATACTAAGAGAGAATTTTATTTATATATCGCTGCGCGAAATAAAGGTGGAGTGCTATCGAAAACGGATCATCGAGTTCACTCTGCGTCTCTTTTGTAAATTAAGAAGCAAATATTAGATGCTCTAACAATAACTCAAGTTATAGGGGCCTTAACTTAAAGCTCAGATTCAGACTTCGATCGAATTTAAAATCCACATTTTATATCCCCAATTCTGAGATACGCAAAAACTTCATCGCTTTTTTTTAAGTTTTATAAACCATCACGAGAACGATTTCCTCGCACAAGATGTCGACGTCAGAAGCTAAGTCGACGTTTCCAATTTGTTTGGGTGCATTTTTAAGAATTAAATGCCGGGAAACGTATCGGCTAAACTACTTTTTTTTTTAATTTGAATATTCAATATTTAACGGTATCAGTACAAAAGAATCGCTGAAATTCGATAGTTTGAAAGGGTAACTCATAAAAATTTGTTATCATAAATCAAATCAGACCTCGAACTATCACCGTGTTTTATATTTGTAGTCATACAAAAGTGGAATATCTGATAGTCTACAATAGCTTCGACACTAAATATCCGTTTACAGACAGTTTTATGAGTATTTAAAATTTGTTGCGATTTAAATTCAGCTTATTTTGTGGAATTTTTTTTAAATAATTGTTTTGGATTGTTCACACCGAAATTTGATTTAAACTTACTATTGTGCACTTCTCGATTTGTGAATGAAGCACCTTAAGTTTCAGTTTCAGCGCCAGCCCGTCACGTTTCTCACATAGCGCCTTCAGTTTTATCGAATCTGCATCACGATTGATCTATTAAGTCTCGTCGCTCCTTTCTGCCGCAGACTCCGGCAATAACGTCCTGATTTATCGAAGCACAAATAAAAGTCAGCGAGCTTTCTTCTAAAAATTTCATGTGATAATTTGCTATTCCTATTTTTATAGCTTTGGTGCGTGTCGCCGAGTTCCGATTGCATCAAGATTACACGGAGATAGTGTAAAAAGCTCCGGCGGAGGAAAACCGCAGCTTTAAAATTTTTCAGGCTGGGATTGGCGCGGCCGGAATCGTCCAGTTTCAGTATTGTTGGCAGCTTCCGCAGCTCGCGCCTAATTGACAAAAACAATCTCCGAAGGAAGCTCAACTCGACGTTCACGAATTTTTCAGTCACGAAACACTTTCAGCGTCGATAAGATTAAATGTCAGAGAATAATGATTTTCGGCGTGGAAGTGGCGCTACTTACGGAATTAAAAAAATCCCAAAGTGAGCAAATACTAAATGACACGGAAAAGCAGAGACTGACAGATATTGAAATAATCGAACACATAAATTTCAATACAGGTCACTGCAGGAGCCGCTGAAAAAGCTCGAAGTGTTTATTGTTGAGAAAACACGTTCAGTCGCCGGGAGTTTGGTGCCTGTTCTTTGTACACACAAATTTTATAAATCAATACGTGATTTTTAAAACCTCTTTCGAGATTTTTCTAGAGTTAAAACCGACAAATAATGACCCGGAAAAAATTTTAAGACGCATAAATAATTCTGAATACTTTAATTTTATTCGGATCATAAAGCGAGAAGTATTTTTATTTATTTATTGACCACAATGCTTGAAGCTTAAAGCTCCCACATAATCATCTGTCTTAACAGTGGTAATAAATGAAGTTACCATTTAAATTTAAAGGGATGAAAAATTTCTGCCAACAAAGTGACAGCTCCGTGCCATTGTTTTGGCGAAAAAGCTCACTAATCACAATTCCAAACAAATCAAACTTCATTCACGTTTTTAAAAGTGTTTTCGAAGCACAAATTTGCTTCAGCAGGTCTACATCAATGGGATTGTGAAAAAGGTTAACTACCAAAAAAACCCCGAATTTTGCGCACTGCCAGACTACACTGCTCGATTTGTCAAATATTCACACTCCGGTTTCAGTTTCAGCGAAAGCTCGTCGCGCTTCGCGTATTGACAATTCAATTTACCAAAACCGTATCGCGACTTAGCGGATTATTAAGACGCTGCCATAGATTTCAGCATTTCTGCTTTGCCCCAACAATCCCGTGCTTCTCCGGAAAAATGAGCTTTTGTGTAAAATTTGATGAAACTGGCGCTACTTACGGAAATAAAAAATCCAAATAGAACAAACACAAATTGACACAAAAAGGCACACAGAGTGACAGCACAATATCACAGTAATCGAACACACTAAACCAAATTTCAGCACAAGTCACTGCAGAATCCGCTGAAAAAGCTCCAAGTGTTTATAGTTGAAAGCACGTTTCAGGTCGCCGGGAAAGTGAAGTCCTGGACGTTTTGCATAAAGAGTTCGTGTGCATTGGAAACAGGCGAGTTAATTTGATACCGCGACACGAGATTTTTCAGCGCTGAAAATCGCGTGTTTCAGCGACGTGCACTCCACCACGGCTCGGCGCAGACTGGTTGTGCACCAGTCGAGAGTCAGCAGCGAACTGACGACTGGTTCCCTTCCAGGACAGGGTAGAGAGAGACGGCGAGACGCTAATCAATCATCGTAGAGAGAGAAGAGCGGAGCGGTGTACGTAATTATACGGGAATCAGAAACAACCTTCTTGTAGAGTCGGATCAAGTAGCGCTCTACACTGTTAGTGAGATTGTTGAGACTTGACAAAGGGTGAAACCTGGTTTAATTAGTATAATTAGTTTGACCCTATCTCTGGCTTTTTTACTCGCGGGGCTGCTGCGGTTCCGAACTCCATGCACCTGTGATGAATTGGGTCATCTACTGAAACTCCAGAAAGTGACGCGATACGATGGCTGTGAGCTCAAGCAGGGAAGGATAATTTGCAAAACTACTTCTACGGCGACTAATGACCAAGACGTGACGTAGTACTGAACCTGAACTGAAACGGTTTGCGCTGGTTTTTTAAGAGGATAAAATCACTTGTAACGGGTAAAGTTTGTTGTTTTGGTAAGTTTGACTGATCACTAAAAGAAAAACTGACCTGCAGGTTCTTTCTGAGTACAGATAACGGCTATCAAACCAGTGGCAGTTCTGTTTCTACTTTTATGTTGTGACAGGTGACTCAAGACTGCCCCAGGAGAAGGACACACCTACACGCCTTATTCTCTTTAAACGATTCAACGGTTAACGGTTCAGCAAGGACTAGAATGCAGGATCTCGTTTTGTTGTAATTTATTAATAATCCTTGCATGTGTAAGAATTTTGTAATTATCGCAATGAATCAACTGGTTCATTGCAAAAGTAACTTTCACCTGTAACAAAATTTCAATAAAATATCTTTCTTCTTTACAAATTAATGCTTTGTTGTTTACTGAAACATATTTACTAGATATAATTTTATAGAAATAAATAAAACAGTTCTGCAATCTCTGAAATAAATTGTATTTTAGAAGATAACCTGTCGACGTAAAGTGAAAAGCTGTCGATGTCGACTAAAATTTGTATAAAAATGTCTCGATTTAGTGTAAAGACAAGGAGTTTTCGAAGAGAAATAATAAAAAGCTTGCTTAAAAATTCACTACCACGATACGAAAATTTCAAAATAATCGGTTCTTTAATTTCGTCTGTTTGAATAACCAACAGACGTACGAATTACCGACAGACACACGAACGGAAATAAGTAAATTGCATTTTACATTCTACGACCTGTCAAACACTGAGAACACACGAAATTGGAACATCCGTCAAAGTGATCCATTTACTCCTGGGAATTAAGAAATAAATTTCCTTTGTTTGGAGTATTTCACGTAAAACTTATCTCGCCTACTTCTCCATTTAAGAATAGATAATTTTCAAATTCAACATATACTTGGAAATCTTAAAAATGGTTTTATAAAAATTTACCTGTAGCCTTACCAAAAAACTTCATAACGTCATCAACAAATCATAAATCGAATGTAACATCTATCCGTTCTTATTATCCCTACTAAATACTTGATAAAGTTATCACAAATTTTGTTAGGATAAACTCACTTAAAACATACATATAGCATGGTTCTTTACCTTCAGTTTAAAAATCCATACTTATTTTATTTTAACCCAAACGAGTTATCAAAAAAATAACGTAATGAAATTAATTTGATAATAACAAATGATGGTCGCTCTTTATTTTCTGTAAGTAATATTCCTGTTTTCTGTTTTCCCAAAACAGAAAGTCGATTTATAATCACAAATAATTTAATAATGAGCTTAAAATATTTTGTTGAGCTAATTTTAAATGTAAAAGATCTCTTTGTCACTCATATTTTTCCAAGATCAAAAACAAGATATTAAATTTAAATATTCCTAAGTTAATTTCAGCTTTCATGAAAAGTTTGTTAAAATAATTTCAACATTTATTTCTTTTTACTTAATAGAGTCCATCGGACGAATGACTACTTTCATGTTTTTTTTATGTTTCATGACCCCTAGAGTACGGAAAAATAAGTCACCCACTTTCGTCTGTCCACCATCTGTGTTAATTTTTATTAGGCAGAAAGTCTTCAAAACTACAGGACGGATTCTTGCCAAATTTTAAAGCTATAGACATTATCAATGTTGTGTAGATAGTAAAAGTCTAACCAAAATTTGCCTAATCGTCCGCACCAGCAATGTAATGATGGTAAGGAGGACTTAAATTTTATAAAATAACATAATATTGTACTTGTGGTTGCTGAATCCACCTTGAAGTTTTTCCAGAGGCATCCAAAAAAATCGAAATTGTACAAAAACCTTTAACACTTGTATAAGGGCAGCTCCCACAAGGGCATTCATCACCTCACGTTCGATTATCCCATGAGCTTTTTTATTTCTTACACTGTTACTGCTATTATCTATTTTTGTATTGATCAAATCAAAAACGGTACACATTAGTTTACACTGTACGTGTCGGAATTGACATGCGTCCTTACTGAAATGTTCGTCGGAATATTTTCAAATAGAAAAACTCACTAGGAATACAGGAACAGCGCAATCTTTCGTATTTTTTAAACAATTGTTAACCCGTTTCCTATCATGAGTGTAGAAATTCACTCCAGATCAAGTATACATAAGTTAACAGAATGTGTTTTGGTAACGCGTTCGAATCAAAGACAGTGGCGGAGTAGAGTGATTAAAGTACAATATACTAATGAATTCAGAAAAACAAACTCTCAAGGATCTCTAAAAAAATTAAAGGGTGTTAAAACACATTGATAGAATATCAATAAAAATATATGTACGTATGGGGTTTCGTTTACTTCCTTGCACTGGTACCTTTATTAACTGTATTTGTTTTAATGTAATAGAGGATATCGCAAATAATCTAAAAAATTAAACTTTATAATTTTTCAAAGAAGCAGGAATTCACTTCAGGAGCGAGGGAAATCTTTTTACTTCCCGAGAGCAACAATTTGATGATGTCATCTCAATGAGCCGTATTTTAAAAAGAGTTGAATGTTATACAAAAATAAACTCCTATACTTCCTATATGAATCCGCTTTCAGTTTTTTCGCTTAACGTTCAAATTGTCACAAAAACAATTGCACGGTATAATAACGTTATATTACCAACAGGAGATATATGAGCTCGTGGCTCCGTGACTCAGCGCCTTATTCGGCGAACCGGCGACATTGCGTCGTGGGTTCGAATGCGAACTTGCCCCTTTCCTTTTTTTTTCTTGTACTAGTAATGCGCTGTGACAACTTTTCTTTTGTGCTTAAATTAAGACTTCAGTTGATATTACCTAGTGCTGAAGGACATTTTATCTCGTTGTTATGTCTATGTGCTTTAAATATATTTACATTGTCTGTACGGCGCAGGGGCTGAGGGGGCCTTATTTATCTCGCTGGTTTTTACTTTACAGAGGTTATCACAAAACGAAAATCGTAAAATCAAATTTTATATATTTTTTAGAAAGCTGGATTTTCGGATTATACTTATAGCCCCCTACCAATTTTTTATTAATCAAATTAAGAACCTCGTTTTCTAGAGAATGTGAGAATACCCGCGTCTTTATTTAATTATGATCAAATAAGAATTAATTAATCATTTTAGCCCTCTGTTTTGAAGAAACAACTCATTGAAATCAAACAAATTTCTATGTGACATTCTTTTGATATATAAACATAAACAATCGAAGTTAAGTATCAAAAATTTTTCTTCATCTTCAACTCTATTGTAACTGCGCATTTTTAACAGACATCTTCCTTGATTATTTATAATAGCAAGATGGGTGTCCTATGAGTTATTCTATATTTTAAATTTACTAGACTGTTGCGATCTTGTTTACTAACCGAAAAATTATATAAATTTCCGATTAAGGACAACACTATTTATTTATCTATGTACCTTGCGGATGAAAAATTTGTAATGCTTGAAAAAGGTATCGTTATGGGACTAGTACGTGCATGCCTAGATGCACATGGACACAATTTTAAACTAATCTTGTACGTATTCTTGGTTAATTTTTGTTCGTATTGTTGTTTGCTTTCCATTTATTTTTCAGTAGACTTGTAATTAACAAAACTGACGAATTGCACTGCCACGATTACGTCGAGTGGCACAATTCCTTCTTCGACGAGCGGATCACACAGATAGCCGCAATTACACCCCACCGTGACAAGAAGATTGCCGAGCGACTGCAAATTGCGTGAAGTATCCGGATCCTGATGTTCATAAATTCCGATATTTGACTTGTACATATATATTATATAACAATAAATTTCACGCGCCCCAATGGGAATGTATCTGGCGTCCTGATAAAAATTTTTCCTTTGGATGTTGAAAACTTTACTAGTTTCGTGTTGTTTTGTGTAATTTCCAATTTGTAATGTTGATTGTAACCTACTGGAAAAAGTCCAAAAAAAATGTTTCCATCCATTAAAGTTTAAAATCCAACATATTCAGGCTAAAATCGACTCCTTGGACTATAAATACTTTCAATACATAGTTGGCAGGATTATCGGTTTTGGTACCAGGTGTTAGTAGTCCAACAACCTGTTGTAAAAATATCTTCCACATTTCATTGTCGACAACTGATCTGTTTGGAAACGTCTTTTACAACCAACCGCAATCAAATATATATTTTCAATTTTACAAAATTTAGCAATAAAAAAAACTTTTCTTCTCTCACAAAACCTGAGAAAATTGGTCTTTGTATATTTTCAGAATTTTGAGTAATTAAATTAAATTTATTACTATTTTGTAATAAAACGCTATCTTTCCCAAAAATGTCTAGAACAGTGTCTCTCAAATTAAAATAATAATAACATCAAGTTTTGAATCACATCTCAATCATTAAGGGACAAGTATGAATATCAAGCATTTTCAACAGTTAATGAAACAGAAAAAAATGTTCTTGATATCAAATCTTTTTGCGAATGGATGCACCTTTTTTATTAATTATTTTACTTATCAAATTAGATGTTTCTTCCCTATTTTAGCTGTCAACATCAATTTTCAATTCACTGTCAATATTAAGTCTGATTTGAATTTATAAAATCACTGACTTATTACGCTGCCG